GATATTTAGTCATAATTTTCGTTGACGAAAGCAACACTACCTGTGTGTTGAGGTGTTTGGGGTTTTGCGGTGTTAAATTCCTCTGTCTTTCTTGTGTTTCATGTCTCTTACAGTCTCTGCATTGATGTAGAAATCAACAGTCCTTTCTGTTCGGTCCATTATCGAACCTTTATCCACACTATCATTCACAATTCCAGACATTTTTGGTGTAATTGAAATGGTTACAGTTGTTTATCTATGGAACATAATTTTAAAGTGGTAAAAAACCCTATAACTCATACATTGAATTATATACTGAAATATATTCTTGATTTAATTTCAGTTACCTGTGAGTTCAGATGACTGGATTCTCGTGGCATTGAATCTGTGATCTCTTTTCCAACTTTACCTCTTACAACACACACATATTCTTAGACATGGTCAGTGTTGTTTTTTTTCATCTTCAGTTTTACCCTTTTTTTAATATTTTCATTTACACTATCGGACAGCTTCAGTGTCATCGAACTAACACTAGTTTCGCTCTCGTAGTAGACTGTGTTGTGTTCCTCGTCTGTGTTTGTGTGGCCAGTATATATATACTCTTCATGTTTAAATGAGCAAATGCACGAGTAAGCGCTGTGCCAGTTTGAAAACGGCGGCCGACGCATCATGAGGAAAAAGCAAGCACATCCAGCGTAATGCGAGCGGGGACCCTTATGGGGATGAAGATATATTGCTCCATGTTATATTAATGATGACATTTCTGATTGCTCAAATGGTCAGCTGTCAGGGGCCCCCTCAAAATGCGGGGCCCCAGGCAATGGCTTGCCCTATTGCTATGCCTCTGTGCTAAACTTTACTTTCACTTTCTGAACAACAGTTTGAAAAATAAATCACAGCGAGAATCACAAAGATCTACTATCTATTCAGAAACAAACTTCACAAAAATGCTTCTGTAAAGTGTTTCTCTTGGTTCTTCACTGATGGCTGGTTCTTTATTGCTTTTGTCAGTAGAGAAGAGAGTCAGTGTGACAGAAAGCAGAAATAACACGTCAGTCTCTTCCTGGTAAGAGCTGTAAGAGGGTGGAGTTTATGATCATGTGAGTGTGTTTAAACACACCTGAACAAGATAATCAAGGTCTGAGGGTTACTAGAAAGCTAGAGGCAGGTGAGTTATTATCATGGTTGAAGCAAAACTCAGCAGGACTGTGGCTCGACAGGACCGATGTTGGACAGCCCTGGCCTACACCAACTTCACTGCACAACACCCTGATTACATGGGTGGTGTGACCAGGGGTCCGTTCTTTGTACATCGCTTATTACATCCGAGATCAAAAGACACATCCGAGATGATATGATCCAGCTAATCATTATCTGGCTAATTAGGTTCTTCGAGCACACCTGTTGTTGATGGTTAGTATGGCTGGATTGAGTTATGTGAGATAATTGCGCGTTCATGCGCTGGTTTAAAAGGGGATATGTATCGATAGTAGAAACATTGGTTGCCCACAATGGCCAAAGAGCGCGCCCACTTTTTCTCAGTGGCAGAACAAGAACTCTTGATGGAGGGCTATGGCGAGTTCCAAAATTTAATAAAAACGCCAGGGAACACCTCAAAGGCTGCAAAAGCCAGGAGAGAGGGCTGGCAAAAAATAGCAGACAAATTAAATACGTAAGTAGTGAAAGTAGCAGGCAAATTAAATGTGTAAGTAGTGACGGTGTTAGATGTTTCTAATCAGTTATTACAGTATATGTACATTTTAAAATTTTCATAATTACTTTAATCTTTTATATTAGAGCCACCACAGGACCCACTAGAACTTGGGAACAAGTAAAGGTGGGATACAAGAATATTCTACAAAATGGTAATGTTAACTACATATGATGTTCTTAGAGTTTTTTTTTTTGTTGTTGTTTTTTTTGTTTTTTAATACTGAAATGATGTGCTTGTTTATACCAGCAACTAGGAAAAAGGCAGAGCAAAAACAAACAGGTGGTGGTCCTGCACCCCCACGTCACACCCCGGCAGAAGAGCTGACCCTTGGATTAAATGCGAACCGACCCAATGTTCAGGGCATCCCTGGGGGCAGCTCTTCCTTAGACCCACAGCCAGGAAGCAGTAGCAGCAGCACCTTCATTACTGGTAAAGAAGCTTTTAATTATTTTTGTATAGGCTACTGTAAAATAATTGGTAGCTACCTTGCATTTGGTGTAATCCAAATGTCAGCTACACTCATTTCAACTGGTAGATTGAGTAGTGCTGAATTGCGGTTGACATGAAAGGAAGGCAGTTAAACCTACTTTGAGTAAATGAAGAAATGTTGCGATTGTTTCTTTTCCTGTGTACCTCATTGTAATGAAACTAGTTTTTCTATTTTTGTGCAGTTTTACATAATACACCCACACTTTTACATGTTCCAAATAAACTTCAAACTAACAACATGGTGTCTGTGTGGTTGATCCGGGGTATGTATACTGTAAAGGAGGTAAAGAGTGTGTGAAATGTCCGTGTGCCATCCAGATTACGTGTGCACCCGCTCTCTGATGGACTTTGTCATGCCATTTATTTTCATTGCACAGGACAGTGAAGAGACCCTCTCGGATGAGTGTCCTTTGGAGGAAGTACCTGTAAGTGCATAACCACATAAAAACACTATATAATACACACTATAAAGTTGTATCAACTAAAGTACTTTCTATTTTTGACAGCAATATGAGTTGCAGGAGTCTGCAGAGAGGGAGTCTGCACAGAGAATTGATACAGAGGGTGGACCGTGTTGCATATCAGTTTGTCTTTAATTTTATTTCTTTTTTTGTTTGTTTGTGGCATGTGTTGAGTTCAATTTATTTTCTCTGTAAATGGCACAGGGTGACATCCGTTCCTTCTATAAACGTAGCCTGCAGCATAAGGTTGAATATTTGGAAGTAAAAAAACACAAACTGAGGGGACAAATAGAGCTCCAACAGCTAATGGAGAAGAAAATTGCACTAGAAATAGAGTTGTTGCAAAAGGAACTTCAGAGTAAGTAGTAAAACACAATTTGACACAGAGCACTACTGTTGACCTTGCATAACAATATCTGTCTTTGCAGGCAAAAGATTACTTTTTTTTTAATTTTTGGTCAGAACAACTAATAAAAGTCATGGAAACCATATTTGCCTTTTTTTTTTATTTATTTTTTTTTATTTATTTATTTTTTTTTATATTCTCAAAAATGGTGTTCCACAATCCTGTCCTGTGCAGCTCTGCCACTAGGTTGGTTCAAGTGCACTGGCTGGAGG